GAGTCTGTGTTTGCTCTGGCTGTTGAGGTGAGTTTCTTGTAGGCAGCAGAATGTTGTGTTCTGTCTCTGTATCAATTTTGCCACTCTGTGTCTCTTAACTGGTGAATTTAGACCGTTGACATTGAGAGAGAGAATGGTTATGGGGTTTTGTGTCATCTTTCTGTGCGGGTGTGTTGTGGTTGTAGGGTTTGTCTTTTCTTATAGTAGCCCCTTTAGGCCTTGCTTTAGGTTTGGTTTTGAGTCTATGAAGTTCCTGAGCTGCTGTTTATCTATAAAATAGTGTACCGTTTCTTCGATTTTGAAGGAGAGTTTAGCCGGATAGAGTATTCTTGGTGAAGCATTCATTTCTGTGAGTTTTTTGACTATATCTCGCCACTGCCTTCGGGCTTGTAGGGTTTCCTCTGATAGGTCTGCTGTGAATCTAAGGGATGCTCCTTTGTATGTGATTTCCTTCTTTGCTCTTGCTGCTTGCAGTATTGTGTCTCTATTGGCAGTATCGATCATTCTAACTATGATATGTCTTGGAGTGTTTTTGTTGGGGTCTCTTTTAGCTGGCACCCTTCAGGCTCCTTGAACCTGAATGGCTGCATTGTGCAGCTCTGGGAAGTTTTCAGCAATGACTTGTTTGACGGTGTTTTTTTGTTGGGATTGTTTCCCTGAGCTTCAGGTAGTCCCATGATTCTAATATTGTTCCTTTTGGAATCATCTGCTAGGACTCTGATTCTCTGTAGAGCCATTTTGAGGTCCCTTGCCACTGTTTGTTGTTGCGTGTTGGCTTGTTGCAGCTGATCTTCCAGCTCACTGATTCTCTCTTCAGCTGTGGTCATTCTATTTTTAAGAGAAGAAACTGAGTTTCTCATTTTGTCTATGGAATCTTTTAATCGTGACATTTCTGCTCTCATTTCTTCTCGTAATTTGTTGATTTTTTCTGTGGTGTTACTGGCTGTCCGTCTGACTGTTTCATTGAGTTGATTGAACATCTTGATGACTTCGTATCTGAATTCTATGTCAGAGAGGTCCCTTAGGTTAGCTGTATTGACAGAATGTTCTAGATTGCTTTCGTTGTTCTCCCCTTGTGGTGGGGATTTTCTTTGTTTCTTCATATTGCTGAGTAGGTTGGGAACTAGATTCCTTGGGGACTAGGTTCCTTAGTATGGGAAAACAACCTGCGGCCGCATAAGCGGCCGCCTGCCGAAAATTAAGCTATGCCCACTTTTGAGGCCACACCCACTTTTGAGGAGGCCACGCCTCTACAGAACCCTGGGTTTGGGATGAGATGGGCGCCGCGGTCAGGAGTGAAGAGGGCAGGGCAGACGCTCAAAACTGCTTCTCTTCAGGCATCTCGGGGGACACCTGGGGTCCTGCAGGGAAAGATCTATTATAATTTTTAATAATCAAAATTTCAATATATGTGTTTAAATTTGTTTGATTTTATTTTAGTCACCTTGATTTACATTGAGCTGGGGCAATAGCACAGCAGGGAGGGCGTTTGCCTTGCATGTGGCCGACCTGGCCGACCCGAGTTTGATTCCTCTGTCCCTCTTGGAGAGCCCGGCAAGCTACCGAGAGTATCTCACCTGAACAGCAAAGCCTAGCAAGCTACTGTGAGGTATTCGATATGCCACACACAGTAACAAGTCTCACAATGTTACTGGGCCTGCTTGAGCAAATCAATGAACACTGGGAGGACAGTGCTACAGTGCTACAGTGATTTACATTAACTACTAATGATAGGGTTTCATGCATACAATGTTCCAACATCACATCCTTGTCCCCCTAAGAGTGTCTGTTTCCCTCCACCTTGTGTCAAAGTCACCCCTCACCAACCTTCATGTCTCACCATGGTAATCTCAGTTCTATAGATCAATTCACAGATTCTTTTGGTTTTGGTCATTTGTTATTAGATCACTATGCATCTTTATATTCCATATATGAGAGAAATCTTCTGTAACTGTCCTTCTCTCCTTCTGACTGACTTCATGCAGTATGATCCCATCCAGTGAGACACTGGACTGATCCACATAATAGCCAATTGCATGTTTCAGCTTTTCTTATAGCTTTTGGCTTCTTATTTTTGTACTTGATCCAGCTGCTTCGTGGTCATCAGTCTTTGGATACTAAGTTTGATTTTAATGGTAGGATTTTTTGTAGACTTCCTTTGAGAGATGAAAAATATCCCATTTCTAGTTTGTTGAGAGTTTCCATTATGAACAGATATAAAATTTTTCAAATGTTTTTTTTTCTGCATCTACTGCAATTATTGGAAGGTTTTTTGCCCTCTAGCTTCTTGATATAGTATTGCCTAATATGATTTTTGAACATTAAGCTATCCTTGAATTTCTAAAGTAAATCCCACTTATAAAATATTACTTTTTAAATATTATTAGTTTATATAATGTTGGATTAATTTGGTAAAACTTTGTTAATAGTATTGTTACCTACGCTTATGAGAGATATTGTTATGTGGGTTTTTTGGCTTTGCTCTGCATTCAGGAATCATATGCTTTGAATAGTATATTGGAATTTATTTTGTGGTCTGCTGAAAAAATAACATAGATTATCTTTGAAGTAATAAGTGACTTAAGAGAATTTATCTCAGTGTAGTTTTTAAACTGTAATTTGGGCAAATAGTTAAAATGGTGTTAACGTTTATGGTTTTGGTTTACAAAGTTACAGTATTTTGACCACCACCAAACGGCCCAAGACCATCTACCACTGTTTTATGTTACTCCTAGTCCTTCCCCTCCTAATATTTCTCCCACCACCCCTTTGTAATCTCAGTTCTGTAATCAAAATTCAATATCTCTAAGAACTTATGTTTTTATGTTTGGAGAACTGATGCCAAGAAGTGTAATACTCAGGTCATATGGAAGCTCTGTTCTTACTTTTTTGAGATATCTCCATAATGTTTTCCATGAAGACTGAACAAGACAAAATTTACTCCAACAGTAAATAATGGCTCTTTTTCACCACATCTCTGAAAATATCAGCTGATTCTGGTATGTTTTTTAAAAACTTGGGCCACACCTGGCTGTGTTCAGGGATTACTCTAGGCTCTGATTTTGGGGATAACTCTTGTCTGGCTCAGAGGATTATATATGATGCTGGGAATTGGTTCCACTACACGCCCATCAACCTTATGTGGTTGAGCACACATAGCTGCATCCACCTCTTCAACACATGAGTAAGTCACAAAACCAAAGTCTCTGGAATGTTTTGTTTGGGGGTCTCTCATCACCACACAATCTGTAAGTGTGCCCCATTTCTCAAAATGTTCTCTTAAATTATCATCTGTAGTTTCAAAGCTCAAACCTCCAATAAACAGTTTTCTCAAATGTTCTGGTTCCTTTGGATAATGACCCTCCTCCCCCCGGCGGCAGCAGCGAAGGGCTGGAGCGATAGCACAGCGGTAGGGCGTTTGCCTTGCACGCAGCCAACATGGCCGGCCCGAGTTCGATTCCTCCGCCCCTTTTGGAGAGCCCGGCAAGCTACGGAGAGTATCTCGCCCACACGGCAGAGCCTGGCAAGCTACCCGTGATGTATTCGATACGCCAAACACAGTAACAACAAAGTCTCCAATGGAAACGTTACTGGGCCCGCTCGAGCAAATTTATGAACAATGGAAGGACCGCGATGGAACCAGCTGGGAATTGAATTCAGGGCAGCCACATACAAAGCAAGCGCCTTATATGCTGTACTATCTCTCTGGCCCCGTTTCTAGTATTTTTGGTATAAACCATTCTCACTAGAAATGATACCTCATTGTCACTTTGAGTATCAAATTACTAGTGACATTGCCTGTATTTTTGTTTCTTGATGATTGTGTTTCTTCATTACACTCAAATAACATTATATAATTTTTCTGTCGACTTGGTTAGTCTTTTTTATTGATTAGAATAATTAAAATGTGTGATGTTGATACATTATTTATTCTAATACTTTATTGGTTAGATGCATCTTCTCCCAATTTCTTGTTTCTTTGTATTTTTTTCTATTTTGATAATCATGAATATGTGTGCAGAAAAGTAGCAGAAATTAATGTTTGTAACAAGAGGCATCTTGGCTTATTGTGACCTTGTACAGAAGGTACAGGAGAATGGAATGAGGAAGCAAAACATAAGATTTAAAAATTTGTTCACCAATATTTGTAAGTCGTTTGCATTTATTTTCCACAGGCCATGTGATAGAGAATAAAAAAGTTGAACAATTTTAAGTACATTTAACACTGATAGAAAAATAAAACATGTAAAATCAGACAAGAAACAGACAACGTGCTCAGTAACTAATAATGGCTACCAAAATATCTATCCCAAAAAAGGGAAAGAAGACGTTATTTTTGAGTTAATTTGGAATTGTTTAATACAAAAAATCTGTTAGCTGAATGAGAATAATGACTGAGTTATTTTTGCTCACCATTACCCCACCCTAACACTTAATATAGTGCCTCACAAAGAGTAAGTGTTCAAATATTTATTTAATAATTGAATGATGTGATCCTGTGTGGGCAAAGCCACTTACAACATGGACCTAACACCACGTGTTTAGTCCATCACTCATATATCACCAACAGCCAGAGGGAGAATGTTCTGATAGGTCAGCAGGTTAGTCATTAGCATGAATTTCCAAAGTACTGGGCACAACCTTTTCCAAAGGACACATGACATGCTCCCTTTTTTTATTACTATCATAACAAAGAAGTAGTTAAGATTTTTACTTCATTATGAAAAAAACCTGAGTTTTGAGTTCCATGTCAGATACTTATAAGCTCTTGATGTCCCTCATCAACAAAATGACACTGAAAGTAATACCCACCTTAGTGGGTCATGATAATATCTAAAAAGAAAGGCATATAAAATGCACAGTAAAGGGAGGGTTCTAGAACCATTGCCTATGACTCTTCCTTTGATGTATACTAATATTGATGTAACCTGTGAATGTATTTAAATTGTTATTATTTAGTATGTTTTCTAAGAGAAATATTTTAATACCCTTTCTCACAGATTCAGAGACATATTGTGTGTTTCAAGATAAGAAGTACAGAGTGGGTGAGAGATGGCATCCTTACCTGGAACCATATGGACTGGTTTACTGTGTGAACTGCATCTGTTCAGAGGTACAATAGCCCAAGCATATGATCTTCCATTTGGGTCTTTGACATACAGAGATGCTTTCAGTGCCCAAATGACTCAGAGAAGATGAATGAGAAAAGCCTAAATGAAGATAAGAAGCTGATTGAAAGGGAAATGACTATCCTCTAGCTTACCTCTGTTGATTTTGAGTTTGATTTTCATGAGATCTCTTGGTTGTTTCTGTGGTTAAATAGTTATGATCTCCTTGCCACGTTGTATGAAAGTTGGTGGGAGAAAGCAGAATAACTTGATAGTAGGAGCAGAGGGGAGGTATATTCTTATAATATTTGAATGACAAGAAAACATATCTTTTGAAAGCCACTTCAAATATTAAATAGTTGGGCACATATATTTTCTGTTATCATCCCAGTTAATAACGGTATTGGAATTGATACTATAGGAGCTGGAGCGATATCACAGCGGATAGGGTGTTTGCCTTGCACGTGGCAACCCTGGTTTGATTCACAGCATCCCATATGGTCCCCCGAGCACTTCCAGGAGTAATTCCTGAGTGCATGAGCAGGAGTAATCCCTGTGCAACGCCGGGTGTGACCCAAAAATCACAAAAAAAAGAACTGAAAACTTGGTCTGTACCTCCTGAGGATTCGACTTCTTAAAGCTTCCCTTTGTTTCTTGTACACTCGCATTAAATTGTGTTGGGGAACTTGAATGCCATCTATGCAATGAATAATATCCTGTACTTACATATATTCCATATCTTTTAAACAAACTATACTATTATATCTTTGGCTAGACTTTCTTTTTTCCTTTTTTTTTTTTGAACAGAAAAGAAATCTCGTGTACCTCTTTTTTTAGGGGGGGGGATATAAAGATGAACATTCAGCAGTGCTAGGAGCTAATTCATAGCTCTGTACTCAGAGATCACTTCTGGTGTTGCTGGGGGGGGGGACCATATTGAGTTGCAGGAATCTAATCAGTGTCAGCAACATTTAGGGCAGGTGCCTTAGCCTCTATACTATCTTTCTGCCCACCTTGTGACGTTTTGACTTGATATTTAAAACTCTCCTTCATTTAACTAACTCCTTATCCTCAGGTTACCTTAATTCTATTATCATTGTTCAGTGGTGTGTCTTTATTTTGTTTGTTCGTTGATTTTAGATCCTTATATTGCACGCATAAGTGAAATTGTCTAATATTTGTCTTTCCTTCTAATTTATTTTGCTTCAAATAATTCCCTAGAGCTCTTTCCATTTTATTGTGAATGGCAAGAGTTTTATAATGAATGGTATTCAATTATATGAATCTACTTCATCTCTTTATCCAATAATCTACTGATGAATTCTCTGGTTTCTTTGGCTCTTGTTAATAATGCTACAAACTTCCACATAGCTGATGTTTTGGACCAGATAATTATTTGTTTCTGTGTGAGAGGCTATCCTGAGCATTGTAGAGTGTTGACTATGATCCCTATCCCTTAATCACTAGATGCCTCAGTAGCAATAACAAAGTTGTGATGACCAAATAACCCCCATATATTATTAGAGTTGTACAGGGAGTAAATGACCCCAGGTGAAGAGTTACTATACTGGGAAAGTTGGGAAGGGAGTTCTTAAACAGACCTTAAGAATTGAGAATTAGGGGGCTGGAGTGATAGTACGGTGGGTAGGGCATTTGCCTTGAATGAGGTCGACCCGGGTTCAATTCCCAGCATTCCATATGAACTCCTGATCACCGCCAGAAGTAATTTCTGAGTGCAAAGCTAGGAGTAACCCCTGTGCATCGCCGCGTGTGACCTAAAAAGCAAAAAAAAAAAAAATTGATAATTTTGGATATAATGGTTTTCCAAGTCTCACTTGAGACTTTCAGGAAAACTGCCAGTGCTCTTTTTTTTCCATTTTTCTAAATTAAATTTTATTGGCTTATAATTGACTTCAAATATATAACACTTGGGGAGGGGTGCATCTTTTTTTAAATTTATTTTTATTTATTTTAATTTTTTTATTATTAGTGAAACACCATGAGGTACAGTTGTAGATTTACAAATCTTTGTGCTTGGATCTCGGTCATACCACGATCAAATACCCATCCCTCCACCAGTGCCCATTTTCCACCACCAGGATAATATCCCTCCCCCCCATCCCCCCATCCCCCCGCCACTGTGGCAGGGCATTCCCTTTTGTTCTCTCTCTCCTTTTGGGTGTTGTGATCAGCAAAAGAGGCATTGAGTGGCGAACATGTTCAGTCCAGTCTATTTTCAACCTGCATCTCCCCTCCTGGGAGGATCCTCCAAACACCCTCCATTTGGTGTTCCCTTTTCTATCTGAATTGTCCTTTCCCCTAGAATACCCGGCTGGCCTCTAAGCTATGGAGTAATTCTCTTGGTGTTGATCTCAGCTATTCTTGGGTATTAATCTCATATTTTGTTATTTTATATCCCCCAGATGAATGCAATCTTTCTATGTCTATCCCTCTCTTTCTGACTCATTTCGCTTAGCATGATACTTTCCATATTGTACCACTTGTATGTAAAGTTCATGACTTCATCTTTTCTAAGAGCTGCATAGTACTCCATTGTGTAGATGTACCAAATTTTCTTTAACCAGTCATCTGTTCTTGGGCACTCAGGTCTCTTCCAGTTTCTGGCTACTGTAAAGAGTGCTGCAATGAACAAACAAGTGCAGATGTCACTTCGGCTACATATTTTTGCCTCTCTGGGATATATTCCCAGGAGTGGTATCGCTGGGTCAAATGGGAGCTCAATTTCTAATTTTTTGAGGAACGTCCATACTGTTTTCCAAAAGGGCTGAACCAGTCGGCATTCCCACCAACAGTGAAGGAGTGTCCCTTTCTCGCCACATCCGCGCCAGCATCGGTTGCTTTTGTTCTTTTGAATGTGGGCCAGTCTCTGAGGTGTGAGATGGTATCTCATTGTGGTTTTGATCTGCATCTCCCTGGTGATTAATGATATAGAGCATTTTCTCATGTGCTTTTTTGCCATTCGGATTTCTTCTTTGAGAAAGTTTCTGTTCATTTCATTGCCCCATTTTTTGATGGGGTCGGATGTTTTCTTCTTGTGGAGTTCAACCAGTATTTTGTATATCCTTGATATCAACCCCTTGTCAGATGTGTATTCGGCGAATATTCTTTCCCATTCTGTAGACTGTCTTTGTATTTTGGTCACTGTTTCTTTGGAGGTACAGAAGCTTCTTAGTTTAATATAGTCCCATTTATCTATCTCTGTTTTCACTTGTTCAGCCAGTGGCGTGTCATCTTTGAAAATACCATTAGCCTCAATGTCATGGAGGGTTTTGCCAACTTTGTCTTCAATATATCTTCTGGTTTCTGGTCTGATGTTGAGGTCTTTAATCCATTTTGATCTTACCTTTGTACATGGTGTTAGGCAGAGTTCTGAGCCCATTTTTTCGCATGTAGCCGTCCAGTGATGCCAGCACAATTTGTTAAAGAGGCTTTCCTTACTCCACTTCACATTTCTTGCACCTTTATCAAAGATTAGATGCTCATATGATTGAGGGGAGATGTCAGTGTATTCAACTCTGTTCCATTGGTCTGCAGTTCTGCTTTTGTTCCAGTACCATTCTGTTTTGATTATTACCGCTTTGTAGTAAAGTTTGAAGTTAGGGAGGTTGATTCCTCCCATTTTCTTTTTCCCAAGAATTGCTTTAGCTATTCGTGGGGGTTTATTGTTCCATATAAATTTCAGGAGTGTTTTCTCTATTTCTTTGAAGAATGTCATGGGTATCCTTATAGGAATTACATTGAATTTGTACAGTGCTTTCGGTAGTATTGCCATTTTGACAATGTTAAGTCTCCCAACCCATGAGCAGGGGATATCTTTCCACTTCCTCTTGTCCTCTTTTATTTCCTGAAGTAGCGTTTTGTAGTTTTCTTTGTACAGGTCCTTTACTTCCTTAGTTAAGCTGATTCCTAGGTACTTGATTTTCTGGGGCACAATTGTGAACGGGATTGATTTTTTTCATATGGCTTTCCTCTCTCTTACTGTTTGCGTATAGGAAAGCCATGGACTTTTGGGTATTGATTTTATAGCCTGCAACTTTACTATACAAGTCTATTGTTTCTAGGAGTTTTTTGGTGGAGGTTATAGGGTTCTCTAAGTATAGTATCATATCATCTGCGAATAGTGAGAGCTTGATTTCTTCCTTTCCTACCTGAATGCCCTTAATATCCTTTTCTTGCCTAATCGCTATTGCAAGTACTTCCAGTACTATATTGAACAGCAGTGGAGAGAGTGGGCATCCCTGTCTTGTCCCTGATCTTAGAGGGAAGGCTCTCAGTTTTTCCCCATTGAGGATGATGCTTGCTGTATGCTTATGGTAGATGGCTTTAACGATGTTGAGGAAAGTCCCCTCTATACCCATTTTGGCTAGGGTTTTCATCATAAAGGGGTGCTGGATCTTGTCAAATGCTTTCTCTGCATCTATTGATATGATCGTATGGTTTTTATCTTTTCTTTTGTTGATATGATGGATTATGTTGTTTGATTTCCGAATGTTGAACCATCCTTGCATCCCTGGGATGAATCCTACTTGGTCATGGTGTATGATCTTTTTGATGAGTAGTTGGATTCTATTTGCTAGTAGTTTGTTGAGGATCTTTGCATCTGTGTTCATCAGGGATATCGGCCTGTAGTTCTCTTTCTTTGTGGTATATCTGTCTGCTTTTGGTATCAGTGTGATATTTGCTTCATAGAAACTGTTCGGAAGTGTATTTGATATTTCAATTTCATGGAAAAGCTTAAAGAGGATTGGGAGTAAGTCTTCTTTAAAGATTTGGAAGAATTCACTGGTGAATCCATCCGGACCAGGGCTTTTGTGCTTGGGGAGACTTTTTATTACCATTTCAATTTCCTTGATGGTGATAGGTCTGTTCAGGTATTCCAGGTCTTCTTGGTTCAGCCTTGGGAGTATGTAGGAGTCTAGGAATTTATCCATTTCCTCGAGGTTTTGATGTTCCGTGGCATAAAGCTTTTCAAAGTACTCCCTGAGGATCCTTTGAATTTCTGTAGTTTCTGTTGTAATGACCCCCTTTTCATTTCTGATTCGGTTTATTAGGGTTTTCTCTCTCCCTTTCTTTGTGAGTTTTGCTAGGGGCTTATCGATTTTGTTAATTTTCTCAAAGAACCAGCTCTTGGTTTCATTGATCTTTCGGATTGTTTTCTGGGTTTCCATCTCGTTAATCTCTGCTCTGAGTTTTATTATTTCCTTCCTCCTGTTAGGGTTGTGCTCCTTTTGTTGGTCCTTCTCCAAGTTCTTAAGCTGTGAGGTTAGTTTATTTATGTGGGCTCGCTCCTCCTTTCTGAGGAATGCTTGTAGAGCTATAAACTTTCCTCTTAACACAGCTTTTGCTGTGTCCCATAAGTTTTGGTAACTCGTGTCCTCATTTTCATTCGTTTCTAGGAATCTTTTGATTTCCTCTTTAATTTCCTGTCTAAGCCACTCGTTGTTTAATAGCGCACTGTTTAATTTCCATGTGTTTAATTTAGAAAAACTGCCAGTGCTTTTTAGAAACAAATAGAACCCTCTCCCTAGAGCCCAAACAGTCCCATGTAGACCTAATTAATTTTACATTTGAACAGGAAATTGGACATCTAAAATTTTTTTTTTCCATTTTTGGTCCATACCTAGCCACGCTTACTCATGGGTGTTCTTGGGGATCATTCCTAGTGATGCTCAAGGGACTACTTGGAGCTCTGGGGATCAAAATCATATCAGCTGTGTGCAAAGAAATCACCTTACTCACTGTATTACCTCTGGATCCTGGTTTTTTAGGATTTTAAGAATGTGTAAGCTTTGACATGCCCTGATCTGTGTACAGCTTTGGGGTCTGCATACATGAAATTCCCAACTCTGACTGTGCTACCTATAACCCATGTTACTTTGAACAAGTTATTTGACATCTAGTATTCTTTTAGCTTCTTTAAAATAAGATTATAATATTGCCTACTTGATAGAGTTGTGGAAGGATTAAATTTACTAATTCATTTAAATCAATTCAAAGCAGTGACAACAGTCAACATTCAAGAAATATTACTACTGTTGTTTCATCATAATCATTTCTACCATTTTAGTTATTATTTTATTAATTTATTAACTCTAGAACAGATATTTAGTACAAAGCACTATGGAGAAATTAGCATGATTTCAGTCAGGAAGAATGGTTTATTATATTTGTTGGTGATCTTATTTCAAGATGGTATCAGGGATATTGAGGAGCACTGCGAGGAAGTTATATAGGAAGTTCTATAGTGTTTGCACAAGTAGCAGCACTCCAGAATTTCAGAAAGTACATGATAAAAAGTGTATGTTAAGATGTTTCAGATTTGGATAAAAGAAACCTCTCCATAAGTCGCTAGGGCAGTTATTCAATCACCTGGGGATAGTTTAGCTGCCTTCTATATCATGATTGTTTCAGATTCTTGACCTAACTCATTTGAAGTGGATAGCTAACCCTTGGGATCTGAGGTTTTGCTGCCTGCAGAGCAGTGACATGTTATTAAGATTTCAATGCAAGCAGTTTAAGTGCCTGGAATCTTCTCTCTTTCTTTTTTGGGGGTGGGGTGGGGGCACACCCAGTAGTACTTAGAGTTAGTTCTTGGTTTACTGCTCAGGGAACATTGTTGGGGTGTTCAGGAGACTATATGAAGTACTATGGCTTGAACGTGGGTATCCTGAATGCAAAATGTTCTCTCTGGTCCATTGAACTATCTCTTGTACCCTCTAAGCATCTTCTCTTCCTCCATCTTCATCATATCCTTCCTCACAAAAGATTGAGGAACACAAGGAACACTTGCTTCAAATGAATTATGGATGGAAATTATTAATGCAAATTTTTTTCTGAAGTTTTCCTGTGTTCTAGAAATGGTTGAGAGCTGTCAGAGCTAGAAATATTGTTTGTAACTTAAATAAGAGGGGGTGCTAGATATAATTACAAGCTCTAGACTTTTCTTTAAAGCAACTCGAGTGAAATGGAAAGAGGAGTCACACAGTGTAATGAACCAGTTGAGGATCCATATGCTAGAGATGCTTTTTGTCTGGTGTGGGTAGCAGCTCAATGGACCTGTAACTCATCCCTTCCCTTCCAGGGCATTGAACAAGTGATAATGAAGTCAAACTAGGCTCTGCATCTCAAGCTGGGGAATGATAGATATGCCACAGAGGTAGGTAGAATAAGCCTCCCACTAATTGTGGGAGGTTTTGAACACTGTAGTAGCAATGATCCGAGTATTATAAAACTATGCCAGCATGCTATCAAACAGTTCAAATTAGGTGCTAGTGATGAGAAAGGAAAGATAATGGTGATTTCATTCAGCTTCTCTGGAATGTGTATACACTATCTGGGTGATTCCCTGCCTGACTATCTCCCAAATAGGCAAAATGTTTCCCTAGAAAAATGTTTATTTATATATTTGTTGCTTTCTGTCTTTCAGAATGGAAATGTTCTCTGTAGCCGAGTTAGATGTCCAAGTCTTCATTGTCTCTCTCCCGTGCATATACCTCATCTGTGCTGTCCTCGCTGTTCAGGTAACTTAATTTATCTTAAACTATGGTCTCATGTCTCCCTCCTCCATCCAACTACCCCATCTCCTTTATTCCTCAGAGGGTGTAATTCCAGAGAGATAATAGTAGGATACCTTTGGGCAACTCATCCTAGCCCCTAAATACTGTCAATATCCCAAGCTAGGCACATTTTAGGCTCTAATAAGTTACCGAGTACCCAGTAACTGGATTTAATTCAACTTTTAACCATTAAAAATTGATGTCAGTGGGGGAAGGGAATTGTGTTACACAGGTCTTTATTATAAACAGCCTCTTCCTGCCAGGAACATCAGGTACCAGGAGTATTGCATTTGGTAGCATGTGTTCTATGCAATTAGTGCCAGAATTGCATCTGTACATAGCTTCTAAATGAGGAGGGGCTGTTTATAAATCAGATAAACTTAACCAGTAAATATTATAAATAGTATAGTATAATTCTGCCTGTTGTTGAATAGCCACCTCTTCCAGACTGCACACTTATATCCACATTGTTAACAGAGACTATAAGCGGGGAGACAGGCAAACTTTTAGAGAAAGCTTTTAGTACATGTATTTCCATGGTTTTTAATTCTTTGGTGGTCTGAAGCAGGTCTCCCTCATGACTTTTTATTCACATCTGACTGAGGCCTGGCTGCCATATGATGGATGATTCAGAATGCATGATAGAAGTCCTCGGAAAAAGATAGTGACAGTTTTAGGGTAGCAGAAGCCTTATACTCGTGTTAGTCAATTCTTTTCCCTCTGGGACAGGGCTTTTTTAGTTGGGGTTTATAGGTGGATTTTAAGGGTTCAGTGGGCCCTTTAAAATTTTGTTTCTAGTTTTTGATATAAATGTATATGCATGTAAATTTCTTTATAGGGGATCCATATCCTTCCTTGTATTCATAAAGGGATCTATAAATCCTAAAACATAATGAAGCATTGGTCTGAGATATAAATGGTATCTTTGTAAGAAGTGAGAGATTTCCCCAGAACTTTAAGAGTTCTGAGCAAACATGAGCAAAGTGGAGGTGGCAGATGGAACGGAGAAGGGATCACTAAGACAATGATCATTTGAGGAACCAGTCGGGATGAGAGATGTGTGCAGAAAGTATATAAAGGACCAAGCATGATAACCTCACAGCATCTGTATTGCAAACCATAATGCCCAAAAGTAGAGAGAGAATGTGGGGAATATTGTCTGCCATGGAGGCAGGGGGAAGGTGGGATGGGGGGGTATATCGGGGATATTGGTGGTGGGGAATGTGCACTTGTGCAGGGATGGGTGTTTGATCATTGTGTGGTTGTAACCCAAATATGAAAGCTTGTAACTATCTCACGGTGATTCAATCAAATTTTAAAAAAAGAGTTCTGAACAAAATGTTGTAGTTTTGACGTATGATCCAAGTAACAGTAGCTTTTTAAAAACTAAACATCTAAACATCCCCAGCCTACTGGAATTTGGAGGATCTGGGTGGAGGATGCTCGGCCCCAATCCGAGTAGGCTTGGAGATCTTGGCCCCGGAACCCACGTGGCTTTGTCCCTCTGCCAGTACCTTCATGTGTGCGGAGAGTGGTCTCAGCATGGTGGTGGCTGGTTCTGGAGGTCTTCAGCTGCCAGAGCCCTGGTCGGGGCTGGGAGGAAAGCTCAACCCGCTCCCCTCCAAGGGGCCCCGGCGAGGACAGCCAGGTGCGGAGGCAGGAGACTGCACTGTTCTCTTCCAAGAGCTGGTTTTTATAGTCTCTGAGTCTTGGCCGTTGATGGGATTACACGGCGCCAGGGGGCCAGTTGGTGGGTGTGACCCCGGCCTACTGGAATTTGGAGGATCTGGGTGGAGGATGCTCGGCCCCAATCCGAGTAGGCTTGGAGATCTCGGCCCTGGAACCCGCATTCTTTTTATGTAACATTCAAAATATTTTAACAAAGCTTTTCATGACTGGATTTAAGTCATACAGTATTCCAAAACCCATCCCTCCAGCAGTGTACATTTTCTAACACCAGTGTCCCCAGGTTTCCTCCCATCACCCCTCACCACCCAACCTCTGCCTGCCTGTATGGCTGGTGATTTTCTTCTCTCTTTCCTTTTGGGCACTGTGGTTTTCAATATTGATACTTTTGCATTTTAATGTAACCCCAAACCCCCATAATTGAAGATATATTGCTTCTGATATTGCGTCCATTCAGAATTTTTAAAATTTTATTTTAATGAATCACCATGAGATACAGTTACAGACTTACAATTTTTTGTGACTATGTTTCAGTCATACAATGTTCAAGTACCCATCACTCCACCAATATCCATTCTCCATGACCAATATTCCCAGCATCCCTCCCACCACATCCACCCTTTCCCATCCCCTGCCTCTGTAGCAGGCACATTCCCTCTTACTCTCTACTTTTGGGGGTTATGGTTTGCAATACAGGTACTAAGTGGCAATCGTGTTTGGTCCATAGTCTACTTTTAGCGCACACCTATCATCCTGAGCGAACCCTCCAACCACCATTTACTTAGTGGTCCCTTCTGTATCCTAGCTGCCTTTCCCCCAGCATGTGAGACAGGCTTCCAAGCCGTGGAGTGATCCTCCTGACCCTTATCTTTACCGTCTTTAGGTGTTAGTCTCCTATTATGTTACTTCCTTTGCCAGTCTTTTTATATTTGGCACAGTCGTTGGATTTTGTGTCTTTTTATTTTTTAATAATTACATTTCCCCCATCTGGAGCGATAGCACAGCAAGTAGGGCATTTGCCTTGCATGGGGCCTACCTGGGTACAATTCCTCCGTCCGTCTCAGAGAGCCCAGCAAGCTACCGAGAGTATCCTGGTATCAGTAGATTTTAAGTTTTATTTCTTGTTTTTTTTTTAAAAAAATTTCGTCTATTCTTTGTTTTGAACAAAATTTGAGGTTGTTCTTATAATGCTCTCTCTATTATGTTGAACCAGAATGAAAAATGGCTAGACTTTCTTTTGAAGGTAAAATCAGGATGAACATGTTTAAATGATAACAGGATTAAATGGAGGCTAATTAAAGGAATAAGTTGGGACATTGTGGTAATTAAAAACCAGAATATTTGGATACAGAGAATTTTAGTCTCTTTATTGAATATTTCTTAAAATAAAAATGTACCTACCCTTCTGAGTTGGCACAATTCTACTTGAGACTGGGCAATGCACGTAATGATGCTCCTGTGTCCCGTCTGCCCCAGTGATTATCAGTCATGAGGAATTTTATGGCTTAGGGCCACAGGAATGTTTACTCTGTGATAGAAGCTCAAATATATTCTCTTACTCCAGTGGGAGATAATGTGATAAAAATGTCCTTACCTAAAATATATCAGTTAAATCTAAGTTAATGATGAACTCCTTTTAAAAAAGAGAAAGCAAGAAAATCCAAGGTGTGTGTTTGACATGCTCTCCTATAGCAGCATTGACTTTAGAATATGTTAACTTGAATAATTATTGTTGCAGCAGATAGCCCTGCCAGTCATGCTTATAACTCACCTTCCACTGAAAAGTATGGAGGATTCATATTCACCTACTTGTTTGGCACTTGACTTCAGCTTTTAAACTCACTACTCCTGAAAATTTCAAGGTTTATATCTAAATTTGAAGTTTACCCCTGCAATCCCTGCTATCATAAAACATCAGATCATGAAATCTGCTTTTTTTTCTGAATTACTGAGGCAGGAGGTGGACTGAGGGCAGTCTGTACTGACAACTATTGAGAGCAAACAATTTTTTCCCATCACCACTTCCCCATCTTCACCGCAAAATGTCAAGACTTGGTAGTATGCTGTAAGGCTCTATTGGACCTAAGGAAATTAATGTTACATGGAAGTTAGAACATTCTTAATGAAAAAGTCAAAAGTATACAACCTGCATCCCTGTTTTTAAGCAGGAGTCTCTATAGTCCCTGATCATTCAAAATTTGTCAGAATGAAATTCTGTATCTTTTCTTTGAGAGGAGTGGAGTTGCAAATGGAGAAGGTAGCGAAAAACAATATGAGCATTTTCTTATTTTATCCCTAAAATATCTTAAATCATAATTTTTTTGCTTTTTGGTTCACACCCAGCAATACACAGGGGTTATACCTGGCTCATGCACTCAGAAATTTCTTCTGACGGTGCTCGGGGGACCATGTGTGATGCTGAGAATCGATACTGGGTCAGCCACATGCAAGGCAAATGCCCTACCCACTGTGTTATCGCTCCAGCTCCTTAAATAATATTTTAAGACTTTCTCTTTGTTTAGTCTACTAATATTTCGCCATTCAGAATAAATAAAATTGGACTTACTTAGAGGTATTCCAGCATTCTTGGGTAATTAAAATGTTATAAAATTTCCAAAATATCTGATTTGATCTGTGACCAAAGAATCAGTTCACAGTGGTCTCTTTTGACTACATGTGAAAAAGTCTAACTCTAAGATTTTTTTTTGTTTTATCGGTTCTGTGAGTAACACAAGCAAAGCAAGTGCTTTAGCACTGAGACAAATTCAGCCCCCAATTCTATGATAGTATTTAATGGGACGAGTAGTTGTAGCTATGCCAGGAGAGGCACCCATTCACCCAAGTCTTTTAATTCCAAGTCCATTTAAGGAAGCTGCATTTCCAGTGATTTACTATGGTCTGTTGGTTCCCATAAATAGAAGATGGAATTCCTGTACTATTTCTTCCTTGTTAAAAGTCAGATTGCAGATGTAGCAACCTGAATAGAGAATGCAGGCATTTCTGCAGTAATGCAGTATGTATATTTCCAAAAATCCTCACATACTTCAAAATTTCTTCTGAAAAATAAAGGAAAATTTTTGAACAAATGTAGCAAGGACATAGATGGATTTCTTCCATAATGCAATATGTAAATTTCTGAAAATCATCACGTACTTCAAAATTTCCTGTAAAAACAATTAAAGGAAAATATGAATAAAAAACTAGAAGCTTTAACAACTTTGTAGTCGAAGTGTTTACAAAAACAGCCATGCTAGTAATATGCTAGCATAGTTTGAAAA